TAAAAATATATGAACTATGTGGTTAATGTAAAGAATTGTAATTTTTACAATTTAAATTAAATTCCAAGTTATTCTTTGATGTATTGATAAACAGGTGGAATGACAATCAAGTATGCAGTCACAATTTAAAAACAAACGTCGCTTGGCCGTTTTACTTAAACATATATAAATATTATATAATTGCAGCAATTTGAGTAACTAAAAAATTAATATATAATATTGCCTTAAATAAGAAAAAATTGTTTCCTTTTATTGAATAGATTTTTAAGTAAAAGCTCAACTTTCCTTAGCTATTTATAATTTTACATTATAAAGAAAAAACAAAAACAATCACTGAGCGTTGTAGCTTAAAGATTAAAATTTATTTATTAATTCTGCTTATAAATTTATTTTAATGGATTTAAAGTGTTGTTAATATAAAAAAAAATATTAAATGAAATGTATTATAAAGTGGAAAGCGTTGGGTCCGCGTCAGTTTTTTTTTTGCCAACGATATCGTGCATCTATGTATGTATGGACTGTTGACGTTCCTAACTATTATTTATATAAATTAATAATTGATAATTTTATTGTAACTTCATAATGGAATCATTGTTGTGTTCCAGGTGCATGTCTGTGTGAATCTGTTCCTGATTGTCCGGATACTACGCCTAAAAAATAGTTTTGTTTTCATTTCCTTATACAAATATAATAAAAAATATTGATGTAATTTTGAGCGGCAATATTTAATGTAACAAATACAAGTGAATAAAATGTATTCGATGATAATGTGTTTTATGTCTATACGGGTACGAAACTTTCGAACATACCTTTATATTTTCTTAGTTACGAAATCAGTCTGAAACTTGTTTTTTTTAAATTATTTTTTTTATTTATTTTTATATTTCGATAAAACTAATAGTGATCCATCTATAGATAAGTTCTATTGCCAGTATTCATTTCAGTCGACATTCAAACTTAATGTTCTGTGATAACACTTCCTTGTGTACGTAACACATGTATGAAGTTGTTAAATCAAAGTGTAATCCATCCATTCACTGAATACCTCACACACCTCATAAAAAGCAAACATCAATATACAACGCGAACACTCGATCGATCCCGCTAAAACTATTTCGAGTGAGAGGCACTTGGAGCGCAATTCGTAACAGATTTGCGAAAAAAAAAAGTTGCGTCAAAAATTCAATAACAACTTATGAAAAAAAATAGGCTCGTGTCCGCATCTTGAGGGAGGCGTCGCCGGGCCCCGCCCTCGGGCCTCGGGCCTCGGGCCTCCTCTGTAGTGGAGCTGCGAGCGGTTCATAGTTGGTCGGACGACGCGACGCTCGACACACGTCGAGGTATGCTCTGGCGCGGGTGAGTGCACCAGTGAAGTGGGGCAGAGGCCCGTACGTTACGGAATAGAAAAAAAAACGGAAAAATTGACCCCCAGATGGGAGTTTACGAAGAGAGAGGGGCGATGCACTGGGTGAGTTAGAACATTAAAATATAATTTATTGACAAAAAATTAATAGCTAATAATAATAAATAACATATAGTTTTAATTAGCTGTTATATTTCCGATGAAAGTACGGATGTACATTGTGTTGGAGTCACCTTTTGAAATTTTATTTCATGGAGTCTGTTAAAAAATATAAAAATAATATATAATTATTTTCTATAAAAACTATTTAATATCATGGCTTTTCCATAGACCTAACAAATATTTTTGTAATATCTAGTATGTTTATATTTATGTGTGTCAGTTAAAAAATAACTTTAAAATTACAAAATTATTCGAATACATTATTAAGTTTTTCTGAAATAAAACAGTGAAATAAAAAATATATATTTAATTTTCAATAAATATTTGATATTCCTTTTGTAAAATTTTATTCGCACTGAAATTAATATTGAACATTTTAAATGTGGTTTAATTATTAATAATTATATACTGTTATGGGAACAAAAAAAAATATTCCAATACCTGATTTAATATCTAGTACTGAGTTTTTCTCTTACTAATTAGATCAATATTTTCATTTGAGTGAGATACCGTTGAAATCTTTTGGGAGTATTTTATTTTGTTCCTTAATCTAAACATCACATACGCCTTATAGGTACATATTATTTTTATAATAATCAAATAAATTATAGAACATTCAATAAGTAAAGAGAAAATTATTTGAATACGAATAATAAATAAAACATTTAATTATGAACATAAAATAATATTTTATGGACGAAATACGTCTTTGATTTCGTAATTCCGTAAAATATACGGAACGGCGAAACGTTATTATCAAAACCTACCAATAAACTGATATCATTATAAAAAGTTGAAGACATAAGAAATCAATTTGATCCTAAGATTTTTTTTTATCATCGGCACACAATTAAACGTATACCGACGGAGAGTATTTTTAACAGACAACTAAATATATTTAGCATTCCATTTATTTACAAATACATTAATAAAAGGACGAATTGAATTAAATTTATTCATTCTTATATATAAAGAACTGCAAATTTTGCTCTTGTAAATATATTAATTCAACCAAAACGAAAAAAGGTTTGAAGTTCAGTGTTAACGTAAAAATATTTTAACGAACTGCAAATATTATTTTATTAAAAATAAATGTGTTAGTGTATTAGTTCATACATAAATGTTTTATTTTATAAAATCTATATAACTAAAGTCTATGTTGAATCTGATACCCTATTTTTGTTATAAGAGTACTTTTATACGTTTATCGAATACGTTGAGAAATGTTAATTCACTACAATAAAACAGTTTGTATTTGTAACCGTGACCAAAATAGGATTTAGTTTTCTATTTATTTGCTCTATGAAAGTATTTTACATTTATTAATGAAATCTTAGAATTTGTGTCCCTACAATCAAGAACTTTGCAAAAGTTTGTATCAAAAAATCATTTCTTGATACTCGAAAAGATGCTAGTGATTTAAATGTTAAATATTCAATTTACGTTTTTATTTTGATGTTTTGGGGTAGCTTAACGTATTTTTATAAAAAAGTTTATTTAAATTCGTTCATGTTTTTAGTTAAATTGACATAGAATATGCTTCGTTGAAAAAAATTGTATCTAAAAATTTTAAAAACATACGAAATAGCAGCAGTCTCTACGCATTAGTATTTATAAACGATCGAGTAACATCAACATTTTTAGTGTATCTGATGTCAGTTTTGCTGAAAATATTTGGTATAGAAATATTTGGTAACGAATGAATTTTAACGCATCTTTTTTTTATTATTTCGGCCGTCACGAATTTTAAAATTCACTTCTGTAATAAAGTTATTTTTTCGGTAGCGGTCATTTCATTTCCCTTTCGATTAAGAGTAAGCTTTTTTAATTACGTTTAAAATATTGTGAGCCGCTATCAGAAAACGATGGGAGAAAATTTTTTAATCGGTGTAATGATACAACATTTTTCCCATCCTATATAAACATGATATGTTTAAAGTCGTACAACGACCACGAATAATTTGAAGGAGCGTATTACATGTTTATTATTGATATTGAATAGACATTGAAGTGTTATGACACGCGAGAGTGAAATTTTAGAATAAATAAAGTGTACCGCAAATTGCTCAGTTATAATGAATCCTAAGTTAAATATTAGATCCGGTAACGGTAATTTTTTTTATCAACGATAACAAATTACAATATATTTAATTCAAATGTGAATACAGTTTTGAATGCCGGTATAAAAAAATCGTGTTCGACCGCAGGGAACCGTCAAAAGTTTGGAATTAATTTCTGTTGAAAGCTGTTTAGAAGCATACTATCTCAGAAAAAGTTTAAAAACAAAGTTGAGTTGGAATTATGATAATTTTTTTACATGTTATAGTACTTGAAATTTTATTAAGTGGTTATAACGCGGATTTTTATTTCAGAAAAAACACAAGCAAACAAACAAATAAGTACTAACATTAGGAGTTGTATGAAATAAAATATAAAAAATAATGTAACACAAAACTAAATAAGTCATTATAGTAACGTTTTAATCTCATGTAATGATTCATAAGTTTGTAATGACAGTGTATTTTCGACAATTACAAGGGATCATTCGATACGCTCATAATAAGTTAAGTGTTTAATAGTGTAAGCAACGGATCTATTGAAGATATCTCAGGTTTTTTATGAGTAATTTTGAAGAACATTATAAAAAAGTATAAAAATATATAATAATAATATTAAAGTATTATATATTCGTTGTTTTGTCCGTCCGTCGGAAAACTACTCTCAACGCTTCACCGATCCGTTGTACTTGCAACGGGATATATTTAATATAATAACATTAACACATGTTATTCATTTGAATTTTTAATATTTCTTTTAAAAATAAATTTTATTGTAACAATGAGAACGGAACGAATGTTAACGGTAGTTTTTTTGTTTACGTAGCATTTTGCTGATGGAATGGAATCTAAGTATTTATTTGAAAATGTAGTTTCATTTGCGTTCGTATATTTCCAAGAATGCTTTTAACAGACAATGTTTGTTAAAAACTCTCGTTATCAAGATTTCAAGTACTGAAAAGTATGCATACATGCATACATTCTCTTAATTTCTTATGTTCAAACATCTACTCTCTAAAATATATGTAATGTAGTTGACATAAAGAATCTCATGAAATATTAGAAGCATTTAGGGCGCGTTTCAATGTTAAGAATTCCTCAAATATTCTAAACTTTAAAATATATTATAAAAACTTATTTTTTCCGCTCCCAATACATCAAAATAGTTTCCATACAAGTTACCGTGTGAAATGAAAGAAAAATATATGCCAAAGCTCCTGAAGTTCAGAAACTAAGTCGTCGGAAATAGTATACTACGATTAAACTACCTTGACCTGCTTAAGTTTAAAATTTAAGTTTCTTAGACTAACTGGGGAATAACTTTGATCTTATCTTTTAATATAATTAAAACGTCTACACAGTTTAAAGATTTCAGTATAGTTTTAGAATATAGCTGGAAAATCTTCTCAGTAAACAACATGAAACGAACAACAGTATTAACTGCTTGGAGTCGTGCCGCCGGCGAGCTTACGATACTTGTAAGCGGCTTGGCGATTACTTTAATTTATAATTAATATGAATTTCTATATATTATTATATAAAAAAATGTCTCAATTTTTAAAAATACTTTTGAATGATCGTTTCACGAATTGTGTTTTTTTCTTCTCTCCCAATTTTAATGATTATCGCAACGAAATTCCAATGAAATCTAATGAACTATGTCTAAAGGTTAGTTGTGAAAATATTTTTGAATGTCATATATGAAAACGGACAGGCTTGAAAAGATATTAAGATTATAACTAAATCATCATGAAAATATCTATTAGTTAGTAGTTAGTTCTATGTAAATAATGTACGTCAACAATGTACATTGTGTGAAGCTCCTATTTTATAATATTCAAAAGTACTATCGGTAATAATGTGTATAATAATTTGTTATTCTCAAAACATCCCTTTTTTGAACAAACTGAAATTTATGAATATTATTTACTGATTACGTTAATTATTATTTGATGTACCAAATTAACACATGATTAACAATATCGATTGAAAATATGTATTTTCAGTTGCGTTGGAATTAACAAATTCATTGGAAATTTTAATATTTATAATACGAATTATATGCAAATATGCCGAATAATTAAATCATTCTATATTTAACTCAAATGTATTTTGGAGGTGATAACAACTTGATTCAGTGTACAATTAACTATCATGTATGACTCATCGTATCGAAGTTGGAAGTGTTTTTAATTACGTTCATAATGATCATTGTTTTCGGGTTTCATAAAATAACTATTATATTATTATAATTAAAATGCTATATATTTTTTCAGCAACAGAATGAGCGATATCTCTCCACGTACGAGACGGGATCAGAGTTGTCGCCTGTTGCCCCAGCAGCGTCGCCGGGATCGCCCAGAGACTGCACCTCGTGTCGCAAGCGAGAACCTCCAGATGAACCAGCCCCACCGGCTGAGGATGCTTGCGCTGGCTGCGGGGCACGAATAACTGATAGATACTACCTTCTAGCGCTGGAGCGACGCTGGCACACCCCATGTCTCAGGTGCTGTGAATGCAAGATGCCTCTCGACTCTGAACAGAGATGTTACGCTCGTGACAGCAATATATTTTGCAAGAATGACTACTTCAGGTCAGTGTTAATATTTCTTATAAAAATTTGTTAAGTGCTTCAGTAAAACTGTGCTATTTTTATTATGAATTCATAAAATATAACCGGTATTGATCCTTCTATATATGAAATATAGTATTATAACTTCACTTGATGATAGATATACCAATGTTATGTTACAATTGAATCACCTTTCAAAACGAAGACAGACTAATTTCCATCGAACATTGTGTTAAATAATTCTGTGTCTGGAGCTTATTCGAGGCTCGTGTCTTAGAATCGTCATGGACTTAGCTTCAAGGATATATTTTTTAATTATATTTAGTGTTATTTTGAATATGAAATCAATTAGTTTTAGTTATTTATCAGATTAGTTAAGTTTAAAAAACAATGGATCAGCAGTGTATTGTGTGTGCATATCGGCCGCGTGAATAATTATTTTATTTTTATACTTACGCTAAATTTATCGTGGCCTTTTTTATTTATAAATATAAAGATATGGTGAACTAAAATGCCAGGAGTTTTTGATAATTTTTTAATTTACTTGTAAGCTGTAGGTAAGACTGAAGCACATTATTTAAACAAATGGAAATCAAAAATCAAAATGGACATTAAATATTTTCATTAAATATAAAATTTGTGAGTAATAACTCATATTTTATAAATTGATTTTGATTCTTTGATAAATTGTTTATATGTCGTCAGTTAAGGCTGAGTTAGAGGATGTAAATAAATTTAAAACTTTTCGATACTCATTTTTTTTCTTTTATACTAATATATAAATGAATAAAAATTTGTTGACTGAGTAAACATATTATAATCTAATTTATTTATAATTTAACGTGGGTTAAATTTAGTCTTATAGCTGAAAAACTATGTGAAGAATATATTATTTTGACTTTATGTAGATTAACAATTTTATACCGAGTAATATATATACATATACATATATACCACAAGTCGTTAAATTACTATTATATAAAGGGTTATGTCTTTTAAATACTTATTCTCTACCTATATGACTGAATGACAATAGTTTGTCTTTTAAACATCAAATTAACAAAATGTGACATTTTAGTAGTTCTTTATCACGATTCAATCACTTGGTTTTCATTATATTTTCATGTATATTACTAGCGTGTTCGTATACAGCCGTTAGTTATTATTTCTTATAGAATATGCGAGGCAAAATAACCATTAATTATCCGTTTTTATGGAAGAAATGTTTAATAATAAATATCCTTGTTGATTAAGAAAATAATAAATATAATAACAGTTATTTCTATAGAAATAATTACATAAAAATAGTTGTTTTTTATTAAAAATATAAAAAAAAATAAAGTCTTCCTTTAACATTAAGCCATTTATCATCAGTTAATTATATGTCGTAAGATTCTTAGTGAAACAATGGGTTTAATTTACTTGAAACTATAATCCAAACGTTACTTGTCTCTCAATCTCTTTTCTGCTAATGTATATTGATATTATCATATATATTTTATTATTTCATTAGAATTAAATATTTAAAAAAAATTAATGATAAATTATAAATTTAAATATTATTTACATTTCGAATAAATATGATACATTCTAGTTAACTTACTACATTACAAAATCTACGGACGTTTGAAATTCTAGCACGGTCTGAGAAAATGTTAATACTTTCCTAGATTTAGGAACCTAAATACATCACGTGGGCCGTCACCCATACAGTTGTATCTGATGAACGTTTTACAGCCCACCCCGGTCACAATTTACCCGGTGTTATCATCTACGTTGCTCACGTACACATCTCTATGACGCATCTCTACGCGCAGGATCAAGTCATGAGAGAGAGCGTGGTCCACTATTATATTACTACTAACATATACATATATTTTGATAGGATTATAATTGTATTGTTATTATTATTTAATTAATTTGATTATTTTAATTAATTTGTTTCTTTATTCATCTAACAATCTGAATCTACAACGAACCTGTTTTGAAATGTTAGCGATGATATCACGTTTTAATTCTCCCACTTAATAAATATTATAAATTATTTTACTCGCATCCAATTTCATCTCTCGTGTGAATTTTTCTTACTTTAAAGTTGCTTTTGACAAATTTCTTTACGTTCAGTGCCTTTACAACTCCCTGTTATGACTACACACACATTACTACAATATATTTACATATATATTGTTATAGACCAACCAATCCAGCATCTTTAATATATCTACAAACTGTTCCTTGATATCTCAATATAATAAATGAATAAGCGTTGTTAGGATTATAAGAATAATTTAAAAAATAATGTTCTTAATAAATGACAATTTTTTTATAACAGTCATATCATGTATAGAATTTTTTGATTATCCTACAAAATCAAGAGTTTAATACCTTAACAAATATGTATAAGGCCGTATTTTATATCAAATGCTGGTTGTAAATTGAAACTTCAAAGTAACTTTTAATCAAATTCTTAGGGCTGTATGTAAATCAGTGTTGACTGTTCATTGAAACGTTGCTTAAATATGAGATGACGGCGGCCACAAAACGACGACGTCGGAATTATTGTAACGAATACATTGTAAAACAACTAATTGATATATGTTATATAGTATTAATGAATTCAACAAAATACCTAAAGTAGTTTCGGATCACACATCCATTAGAGATCGTACTTACTTTTCAAAAAAAACGTCTTTAACTAAGATCTTGCTATTTTGTGACGATAATGTAACGCAATTCTTGTTATATTCATTGTAATAGAGGCACGGTAACGAAATATTGTTGTAATATCATCAAATTACTCAAGTTTTTGAAAACAATAAAAACAGATTTTGTACGACAATCTAGAAAATAATTCAGAAGTTTTATCATCAATCACAAAAATTAATATTCTAAACAAACTCTATTTAGTCACGAATGATGTAAATACATTAACAAGTTGCTACCATATTAGATTAAACAAGAAATGTATATGTTTTACCAATATACATTCAATAATCGTTATTGAAAACGTTAGTAGGGCGAGTTGTTTTATCTCGGCGTCCTTTACCTCTCAAATAACATTATCAGCTCCCAGAGCGGTGAAATACAAGAAACAATAAACGTAGATCGTAAACATACCTTATATGGACATAAATCAAATCCGACCCTGGCTATACGAGACACTTGTTAAATTGCTCATAAAAGTCTTCAACGCAACGAATATGCGTATATTAGAATGGGTTTATGGCATCGGTTGAACCATCGGCGCTTTTGATTGCTTGGGCTGATTTTGACTATCGGATATCGGCTTACATGTAATCATTTAAAACATCGAGCAATCGCATTTATTTAAAAATATATATTAAAACTGAGAATAAAGATTAAATGGAGTGGTTTGCTGTTTTTTTTGTAATTTTAATGTTTAACATTCACAATTTAATATTGAATAATACTCATAATATGGGCTATAGATGAATTTTTTCGCTAAATCAAAATAGTTATGGGATACAAGATTCATAAAAAACATGTTCAGTGTAAATATTTTGATTACTTGATGAATTAATTACAAACTATGATGTCAGTTTTTTGCTAATTAACAATAGACTATACAAATTTAAACAAATCTTAATTTTAAATGGATACATTATTATAACAATTAAATATGAAAATTTATTATACAGAATTGTGTTAAATTAGACGGATTTGCTGGAAATATTATTTTTTTAGGATAGTAACTGTAAAAATGATTTATATTATTTTGTTAGTCTGAAATCGACCATCGGTCATTAACGTGATTTAGGTTTTACAGTCAGTACCATCAATGTAAGTAAACTTTCATCTTTTTTTATAATTTAATGTTATTATTAATAATAATAGTTATAAAGCGATGTACATATATTAATAAAATATCTGTATAGTTCCCTCAATTAAGTTTATAACAATGAGGGGTCTATTAAAGTGTTGTAAGTGGATTCTAACAGAGTCGGCATCAAGCGGGGCTCTGTTTATAGCCTTACTCATTGTATTATATTACACCTATGCGAAATATCACAATTTTGAGTATTTTATAGCAGTTGTTGTCATGCTCCATAAATATACGTATGCTTTTGTATTCGAGGTGAAAATTAGACAATGCTGCATACCTCAGCCGCCACACAAATCATACAACTTACATAAGAATTCTCTCATGAATTTCTATTTATTAAGGTGAAATTATTTTAAAAATTATTCATATCAATTCTTTTTTATACATCACATGCAGCTTTAATTTGAATGATAATAATGTAACAGGAACGAGCCAACCTTAGATATATTTTGGATTAAATTAATATACAGTACTATTGAATATGGTTTAGCTTTGTTAATATTTAATATACTATATAGATATATACAGAGTTAAGCTGGCCGCCGGCTATTGAATCCGTAATGAATGGTAGGTGGTTTAATACAAGTAACTAATTAGTCGGAATGTACATTTCATATCATAGCAGGAACTAATTTTATTTATTGTCAGTTTTTACATCTTGAAGATAAAGTTTAATTACTATCAGTGAGTATCTTTATTGCTTTCTCCCGCGGCGACTTATCACGCTCATCTAACAGTGTATCTGACTAGTTTATGAACAATATGTTGATACTTCTACAACGGAATTTCGTCATTCTCCACGGGACACCTCAAGGCCGAGTTGTAATATTGTAGTATTTATAGTAATAATGAGCATTTTTTTCCACCATGGAATAAGTGAGACTGTATTTATATCTAAATCTGCTCGTAATTCATCGACTTGAGTTCGAGATCAGTGATCAGTCACTCTATCAGACCGTGACGTCAATAAACAATGGTGAGTGGTTTACTCGATTCATGAAAACTGTGTTTTTGTGTCCATGTGATACAGGTGATTGTGGCTTGCATAAAACATATCAGATGCAGAGAGAATAGTGGTGGTATTAAAAATTATGTTCCCGTCGGAAGCTCGCGTGACGTCACGGCCCATGCTCCTGCGCCTTGTCTGACGGATTAATACAATCAAACTCGTGGGGAT